CCAAGAATCACCCAAGTGATACTCAACACACGCATGCCATTAAGGGATGTTATTGCACCAGGAGGGACATCCGTATCCATGATCTTCTTGGTGTTTTGCACAACTGAAAAACACAGCAAGATCTTCACCACAATACCTGCAGAAAAAAAGGTTTACACCATCACATACAGCATTGTCACATCAGCATGGGTGGCGTTCGTGGCTAACACGAGGCCAACGGGTCTGTGAGTCCACTAGGTCAGGTCGCTGGTTTGAGCCCACATGTGAATTGAGTTTGTTTGATGTGTTGTTCTCTCCTATGCTACGAGGGTTTTCTCCGGGTTCTCCAGTTTCCTCCCTCCATAAAAAATCAACATGAGAGTTRAGCGTTGTGTGGATAAAATATTGAATGAAGTGGTAGGGTGTGTGAGCGAAAAGTGAGTGAAGAAAATATGTTGCTCAGCTAATATTGGAGCCACATAAGTTTAACCAAGCTTAAAGTCATTTCTAATTTTAATTGATTTTCATCCAAGCACCCCTTTAATTTTGAGATTTTTTTTGGACTCACGAAATTTTCATGTATCTAAATAAGGTAAGTAAACTTACTGCAGTGCCAAGTGAAGGCATTAAAATCAGACATCTGGAAGTAAGCATATAGTGAAACAACATAACATACTTTTTTTCTTGGTTTCATACTGCACATGAACAGTTTCAGAATTCCCTGTGTTAAGTTGATCAGAATGAAGTAACTGTTCTGTATCRTCACCATGTGGGACTGCTCCATTCTGTACTTGGACTTGGTTCTCCTTCTCCAATGGAACAGCCAATGATGGATTCTCATAAAGATCCAAAAGGGTTCCAATGAGACACARTAGGCCTAATATTGCACAAACGATGCTGTAAAAAAAGCGAATATCAAGTTATTTTTGAAAACTTAAACTTTTTGATCACTTAATATTGCTAAACTATATCATATACAATGCTACAGATGTGAGGATGGCATTGTCACTGCTGAATGCCGGTTTGCTGCCRTCAAAGTGTCAGTGTTCACATAATGAGTGGTTAATGCAAGCCTCTATCATTATAAGTGAGATTGAGAGAGAAGGAGAGAGAGAGAGACAAATGAGACATTCTTACAATCTCTTAATCTATAATAACACTGCAGGGTTATGATTTGCAAGCATAAATTAATAAATTCTCATTTCAATAATGTTAGTCACCTGAAAAGCTACAAAGCTCAGACTGACAAGGATAATTGGTAGATATATTTTTCATGTTTCGACCGCTTGATAACTTACTATTGTTGGACTTCAGATCTTTTACCAGTTACAGTTTAACCTCCTATGAGCATTCTTCAGCTGGAGTTTGTATCAAAAATTTTACTTATTTGACATAAAATATTTCCCTTGGTCCTCAGTGATTGCAGYTTTCTAAGTCGTTGGTGATAAACTTTATTGAAATAAATATATTCAAATACTTGAATAGAATGTATTTAGTAAGAGTGAAACTTAGAGTGAATACTAAATTGTACTATTTTGTACAAATTAGTAACTAGTAAATTTAGTGTGCACGTGCAATCACTGAACCATGATTGTGCGAATGATCAAGTCAAGCGCAGTCAAGCGCATTTTAGAAACGCTTGTGTACAAAAACCAATAAAACGACTAGGTATGATTACTTTTGTGATATTTGTAAGGTGAGCTATAATAGAGTAAGTAACACTTGTCTCCTAGTGTGCCAAACCATTTCACTTGTGTATTTTGGTTATTTTAGCTTTAGATGTGTCTTGTGTCTTCATTTTGCAGCAGCACGAAGGAATGAAAACTTTAAAACCATTTCACTTGCATATTGTGTTATTTTATTCAACGCATGTGTGCATTTGCTCTTCACACTTCAACTAATTTTTAACAAAATTGTACAAAATTGTACTATTTAGCAATTAGCATTTCACGCTTTTACTAAAAGCACTCTAGCTTCCAGTCATTGCTGGTTCACATTGTTACTGGTGTTTATACTTACATACAACAAACTGCGCTAGCACTATATTCAGAAGGCTTTGCACAATACACTGATYTTGGGTTAGCCTGGGTTGAGATGTAGATGCCTTGCAGGTGAAACAGATCTATTTAAATGGAAAAATAACAATGAAAATAGAAATAAATAAATAAATGGATGAATGGATGGATGGATGGAAGGACAGAGGATGGACAACAGCTAGATCTCACTAACGAATCATGGGAAAAAGAATTGATGAATGGAAGCCTTTTGCTGTATTAACAGCTATAAAAAATGGAGAGATTATTAGAGTGAAGGCATTTAACCTGTGAAATAAAAAAAAATTAGTCAACGTGTAATAGTCAAATGGACATAAAAGAAAACTATGGAATTAGGGTCTACTAGAGTGTATATTAGTCTAATATCTATTACACCGGTTTAATGACTTCACTTTGATTGTGGAGTGATGGACAGCCAAGATATACATGTCACATACCAAATCAGAAGTGTATACAATATATTGTAATTTTGGTGCTCACCTTTAATGTCATTAAGTCCATATGCAATATCAGATTCACTGCATTTATTGGTTATACAGAGACCCCATCTTATTGGCACAACCTAAAAAGTATAAAATTCACGAAAGGTTTTAATATTTACAATTATTTGCCTTATATATAATACGCTCAGAGAGTAGAGTGTATTATAAGGTAACTAACCTTTTTACCCAATATAGCAGCAAAGTTGACCATACAATAATGTGATGATGGTATTGACTCGCAGAGGCCATATGACCCAATCGAAAGCAAGTTTCCATTTGCTATTCCACTGGGTAGCTTACCTGATGCATCAATATCTAT